AAATGTGCCAAAGAGTAGAGGATCTGTTGGAGGCTTGCGATAAGTGGGATTTGTCGATCAGTGTAGCCAAGAGTTTTTGGGCATGGACAAGGTGGGATATCTGGGACACCGAGTGTCGATCGGAGGTCTGGAGGCGAACCCGAAAGACCTGAAATCTCTGACCGATCTGCCATTCCCCGGGTCACTTCGATCTATGCCGTCACTCCTGGGTAGTTTGAATTACTACAGCCGATTCATTGAAGATTATGCTATCTACGCTTCGGTGCTCTATGAATTACGCGAGGGGGGTTGCAGAACTGGAGAAACGATCGGATCTGAGGGAGATCATGGACCGGAACGACCCGATTCCTCGAGATCACGGCTCCCCGGAACTAACGTTGACGGGACCAGTGGATTAGAGGTGGATCCGGGCACACAGGGCCTTCATCACCCTGAAAACCAAGATCGCGACTACCTCAATCCTCCGCCATTTTGACGAGACGAGAACGTCGATCGTTATCGTATATGCCAGTCATTGGGTGATATCCGCCTTGTTGACGCAAGAACACGACGGGATCTATCATCCGGTGGCGTTCGCCAGTCGCACCTTGAAGACGAACGAGTTGAATTACAATGTGACTGAGAAGGAGGTGTTGGCACTGCTGAGGATTTTGGATCTCTATTACAATTTGCTAGTAGGACGCGAGATCCGGGTCCTAACGAGGCATTCCACGTTGGCTTGGCTGTTCAAGTCGATGGGATTGCAGGGTCGCCTAGGACAATGGTCCGCCCTCATGGCCCCGTGGACGCTCGAGATCACGAAGTGCACGAAGGGCGAGGGCGAAATACTGGGGGCGATCGCGGCCATCATCACGCCGAGGACGACGATGGACGATGCTCTGACCGAAATCGCTCCCCGGAAGGAACCTAAACGCCGGATCCAAGCACCGATACCCACTGTAGATCGAGACGAGGAACTATGGGTGATCAGCTTTGACGGATCCGCTCGAGTTAAGCGTGGTGGGGGCACGTTCAGCGCGATCATGTGGAGTCTGCCCGGATGGGAGGTGGTCAAAACCAGATCAGGCTATCTCGAGAGCCTCACCGTGAACGAAGCCGAATATAACGGCCTGATCCCGGGACTCGACATGCTAGAGAGCCTAGATCGCAGACTCCTGGTGGTCTGTGGTGATACCAACCTAGTGATCCGACAAGTACGGGGTGAGATCGACTGCAAAGCACCCGGACTGACGCTATTGAAGCGGAAGGCCCTCGATCGCCCAGGGAAATGGAGTGATCATGAGTTTGTGCATGTCAGGAGGGACTGGAACGGAAGTGTCGACAGTCTAGCGAGCGCCGCTTCGCAACGACAAGGTGGGATCGAGGTCCAGGATACCAGGATCTAGTCGCCCTGAACCGGTTAGACGAAATCTTGATCCCCAAGACCGAGAATCCAGTGGTGCGAGTTGCTGCGGTTACCACTCGAGCTGGTCGAGCAACATCACCTGCTGGTGTCATGCAAGAGGATCTGATCCGGGAGATCCGGGTCCATCGGATCAAGCAGGTCCAGGAGGAAGAAGTCTGGATCGCCGGCATGAAGAAGTATCTGAGTGGATCGATCGCAGATCTCACACAAGCGGAAGCAAGATCGTATGGCAAGATCGCGGCCAACTACGAGGTTAACGAGCAGGATCTACTCTTTTACTGCCCCCCACGCCGAGATCGGGGGACGATCGCGACCGATTGCTGAGATTGGCAGTTCCCGAAACGCTGCAATCGGACGTCTTACACCACTATCACACCGCGTTGGAAGGAGGACATCAGGGAGTGAGGCGTATCTACCAGCGGATCAGGGATCACTTCCACTGGAGGGGATTATACCGGCGTGTTCAGCAATATGTGGGGGAATGTGTGGATTGCGAAACAGGAAAAGGAAAACCGGTGATCCGGGGCGAATCACCAGGGAACTTGCAGGAGACGTACCCGTTCCAGATCATTGCGATGGATCACATATCGTCGCTACCCAGATCCCACAAGGGAAACACGGAGTTATTGATCTGGGTCGATCGGGTATGTGATCGCGAAGGCCAGCTCGTCTCGATCGGCCCAGACGGTGGCGGAATAGTACGAAGAGTGCGTATTTCGGCGATTTGGTGCCAGTGAGATGATCCGGCATGATCGAGAACCCGGCTTAATGTCCGATTTCTTCCGGGCGTTTAATAAGATCCTGGGACAGTGGCAGCGTGCTACGATGGCCTATCGGCCACAAGCTAACGGGACTGCTGAGAGAATGGTGCAGACCGCGACCAGGGCGCTCAAGATGTACGCCCGCGATCTCGATCAGAAAAATTGGGACGAATATGCTGAGCGCCTTACTTTCGCGATCAACACGGCTCACGATCGGATCCGAGGGGATAACCCTCACTATTTGGTGCATGAGTGGGATCCAAGATCGACACTGGAGGCTACACTGCCAGTCGGATGTACAAGACGGCGTGATCGAGACGCGCGGCGATGGCGATATCGAGTCCAGTGATATTATCAGCAATCCCGAGAACAAGTTAATGCTAGATTGAAGGAGGCCATGGCAGATCGGGCCGACCGACACAACGAGGGCGTCAGATCACACCAGATCGAGGCCGGATCTCGCATCTGGTTATATCTAGATCGGGTGAAGGAAGGATATGCGCGGAAATTGGCTCACCTGTGGCATGGGCCGTTCCGAGTCGCCGAGAAGATCAACGAATTCAGCGTCAAGCTCGAGATCGCAGGTACATCGGACATTTTCCCATGTCATGCAGTTCTCCACATCCGCGGCACACGAAGAGGCAGTGATCCGAGGGATGTTATCTCTTGCCGCACTTCGTGCACGTAACACGCCTCCAGCAACCAAGATC